TATATATATATATAGTATATAATTTTTTTTTAATTCAAAATGATTTACAAAACATAATAGTAAAATTTCCCGAAAAGTTCTTTATATACACACATAGCATAAAAATATATCAAATATTCATGATACATTAAGATTTAATGGTGTATTAAAATTTATTTTATATTTTATCAGTAATAATTAAATTAAGATATGCATAAAATAATTCTTTATAAAGTATATATTTTGCTAATATCCCATTTTTATTTCATGATAAAAATATATTTTCTATGTACATTTATACAATGTAGAAAGAATGGAATGTATCATAATATAATGAAAATTTATCATTAGGAATAATTATTAGGTTTTAGTATTGTTAGTTATAATAGAATATTTGTTACATTTTGATTCGTATATTTAAGGAAAATATTTTGCTTATATTTAAGATTGTATTTTTTCGTGAAGTAGTTTTTCCAACTTATGAACATCTACTGCGAATTTTCGAATACCTTCGCTTAATTTATCCGTTGCCATTTGATCTTCGTTAAGAAGCCATCTAAATTCAGCTTCATTCAAACTGATTTTTTGAAGATCAGATTTCTTTGCTGCTTCTAGTGTAAGTACCTTGCGAACTGGTTCGTAGCTTCTTTCCAATTCTTCTAATAATTTGGGACTTATAGTTAAAAAATCACAACCAGCTAGTTCTTTTATTTCACCTATATGAACCCCAATAAGAAAATTATCTAACATAGTTCTCATTGCGATCTTCAATTTTAGTAGGTATAATTAATTTCAAAATAATCTTAAAAAATTTACCAATATTCCTAAACGATGCACCCATAACAACTGTTTTATATCCGAACTTTTTGTAATAGTTAAAAATTTTAGTTACAGATAAGACGCCTGGATCTTCTTTAGATTCATAACATTTTTTATCTGTATTTGTCACATACCTAAAAAATTTCATTTGCAAAACTTTTTAATATTCATAAAAAATATTATTGAACTTACCAATCTAAAATTCTACCGACAAATGGTGATATGAGAGTTACACCTGCTTCTGCACATGCAACTGCTTGAGCGAAAGAAAATAGAAGTGTTAAATTACAATGAATTCCGTATTTCTCCTCCAACTCTCTATATAAATAAGTTTTTGTTAGTTTGAGTTTAAACTTTTTATTAAACGACTGCTTGATAATAAAAATGTTCAACTTACTTTGCTGCTTGAATACCTTCCCATGTAGAAGCAAGTTTGATTAAAACACGATTTTTATCTACACCAAGTTCTTCATATAAAGCAATTAACCGTTTGGCTTTTTCAATACTGGCTTCTTTATTAAAGGATAACCTAGCATCTACTTCTGTGGAAACTCTACCAGGTATAATATTTAAGATTTCTTTACCAAAAAGCACACATGTAATGTCTAAAGCTGCTTCAACTTGTTCTCTTAAAGTACTGAAACAAATAAATCAGTTTATAAGTAGTTCATTTTTCTCATTAACAAATTACATAAATCATAAAATTATCATAATTATTACCACTGTTATCATATCAAGTGAATATTTTTTTTCTTTCATACCTTTTGCTGCATATACTTCCTTTTACTTTTCATTTTTATAAATTTTAATATTTTTTCACTTCTAATACTAATCTTCACAGAATTTCCTACATTTTCATATAGATTTATTTCAATTCCTCTATATTTCTTCATATGTATACTACTTTGTTCATGTATATTATTTTTCCCTTATAATTCCTATAATGTCTTAAATTAACTTTTACCGTACTATGAATTCTATATCTACAAATCTATCTACTAAAATGAATAATGCATTTTATACTATTTTTTATTTATAATAATTGTTAATTAAAAATTGCAAATAATTCATATAATCTTTATAAATTAAAATACTAATAGTAATCTTTATAAATTAAAATTGAAAATATATATTTTGTTTATCGTTTTAATATTTCATACTTTAATTTTATATATATTATTTTAATAACATATATTAGTAAATTTAATATATATTAAAAATTTATTAAACAATTATGTATCTAAATAATAATAAAATGTTTATTAAAAATATTTACTATAATATTTATATTTTTATTTTGCTCTCTTAATATCATAACATGTACTTACGATCCAGACTTTTTTCCATATTGTACAGCTTTATCTATTAAGTGAGCATATTTTTTTTGATTGGCTGCAGCAAGGATCAACGAAGGATTCGTAGTTGCATCTATTGGTTTAAATTGTTCCATAGCTAAAAACACTTTAGTAATTAAATGCATTGATAACAATTTTTTGTAGTAACAATAAAACATTTTATTTTATATAATCAGATAAATTTCAATATAAGATATTTATATTATGTCATCTCTAATATTTATAGATCAAAGCAATACATATTTGTGTGACGTATACCTTGTAAATTATATGATAAGTAAAAATTTTTTACACTGAAATATTACTGAAATATCATGAAAAAGAATATTCATAGAATTAAAAATAAATCAATGAAATTAGAATTACTTATTTTATTTCGAATATAAAATTGAAATTTTTAATTAAGTAATACTATATTTAATTAAGTAATACTATAAATTAAAATGGAAAATAATATATTTTAATGATACAACAATTACAATGAAATTATTTAAAAATTTAGAACGATACACAATAATAATTTATTCATACTTTTCTGTAATTTTTGGTAAGTAAAAATTATTACGCAACTATTAAAAAAAAAGCAATCGTAAGATCGGAAGATTTTGTAATTTCCCCTACTTCTACATGTATATATATAAAACGTGATTTGAACTTTAAACTGATGTTTGTCTTCTGGTAAAATAATTTTGTGTTATATTTATACACCTGCATACATTTATAATATAAATATATAATAAGATAGATAAAAATATTTTTTTCTCAAATAATTTACATTTTCAACGTAAATGATAAATGAAAAATGCGCCATTGGAATTTTCCTACACTTTTGATAGTCACCTTCACCTTTGATCATACATGAATTAAGTATAAAATCTTTTACTGAAAATTTTTATTTGCTTACCTTGAAAGTCACCGGTATCGGCGACGATCGTTGTAATTTCTTTTAACTGCGCCAATGAGCTCATCTTGACTTTCTTCGATTGAGACTCGCTCATTCTTATCAATTCTTTTATATACTGATTAGAGACCGAGAATTCCACTTCATAAATTGAGGGGTGATCAGCATTCACAATATTGTACACGATTGCCAACTTGTATAGAAGTGTTTAATTTCCTTTAATATTACGTAAGTAACTATATTTTTTAAAGTTAAAATCAACATTATTCAAATATTTAAACGAAATACTTTGCAATTTCAATAATATAATATTTGGTTAAATTTTATTTTAAATAAAAAATCATGAATTTTTTTAACGATCTGATAAATTTCGACGATTTGACAAAACTGCAAGTTTTAACTTTAGGAATCCAAAGTTCAAATGTTATATAGCTATAAAGTTAAACATTTTAAGCGTATTTGATAGGTTAGTGTGACGCTAGGTTTCTACGTATAATTTGATTGGTTCATACAGATCATTCTAAAGAAAGAATATTTAGAAAAAGAATTTTCAAGTTTTGCACTAGTGATAGGAATTAAAGTCAAGAAATAAAGATGCTGTCACATCACAGAATTATTTATTGAATTGGTAATGTGGTAATATTTTATCAATAAATATAATAATCTGAAACAGCAGTTGATGGAGATTGGAACAAAATTTATTATATATTTATATCTATTTAAAAATATTAGAAGAAATAGAAATATGATATTAATTTAGATATGAATTAGATATGACATTTTTTATTTATTTCAATGTATAGATTCATTTCTGTTATTATTCTATCCGTCAAAATAAAACTCGTTGACATGATTAAACTAGCGAAATAAGTGGGTTGTAAGCAATGGCAGCTCGCGTGTAGACACTGTGGAACTGCAGCACTCCCTATTTCCACTTGATATTATCGATAACATTTAATATAATGAGTCCTTTTTTCTTTAATTCTTTCTTTATACTTGTATAATATTATATTATTGTACAAGTATAAAGAAAGAAGGGGGTGCAGTTCCACAGTGCCTATATGTGAGGCGCCACTGGTTGTAAATATTGGCGAATATCGGTGTAAATCGATTTGAATTGATCACCGTGTTCTGTTAATTTCTTGTAACTGGATCAATTTTTACTTATTATTATTTAAATATATTATGAAATTAAAAGTTTTCTTTATTATTTCATTGTATAAATTATATGTTATTCTATAAATTGTTATATTTTCAAATAAAAAATATAAATATATTCCAAATGTTTGTGCATTTAAGCATACATATTTATCAAAACTTAAGTACAGTATAAACAATGAAATTGTGTGATACAATTGTGTTGATATGTGTATATGTATACTTATATCTATAATAAAAAAATGTAACATTATATAAAATTCTCTGGAAATGCATTTCAGTGTTTAAGATATATTTTGAAAGTAATATTTCTGTATACCATTACATGATTTAGTAATTTGATATAAATATGCATTCACTTGAACTTTGTTCATTTTGATACACTTCATTCAATCATATATATGTATTTGTATTTCTCTCATATGGCCTATTGATAAATTATATTTTTTGTACGAATTATCAATAAATTATTCTATTGTAGTTATTAGAAAGTCAATTTTTATTAAAAAGTATAATAAAATATTGATAAAATGTATAATATTACAATCAATCACAAAAGTCTATATATAATTATTAAATTTCAAATAATTAAACTAAAAACAGAAAAATTTTGTAAGTATTAATTAATTTCTTAGTTAAAATTAGACGAATTCTCAAATATTGATGTTTCTTATATTAGTTCAAAATAATATAAAATAAATCAATAAGAGGATTTTACAAAAATTTATATATAATTAATTATTCATAATTAATTCATTAATTATATATAGTAAAAAGAATGAAATTTATTCTGATTATAACTATATATATTATATATGTATAGTATATATATATATATATATACACACACACATATATATATACTAAATTTTTTAGCAAGAATTCATTTTATAAGCTTTAACGTACTGTCGATAATTGTACAGTAAATTTTGTCAATTTTTTCTCGATTTATTTATGTTTTTCACACACGCACGCGCAGGATAGATGTAAGAAACATTTTTTCAAAATTTTTATAACTTTATCTAATAAATAAATTAATTTAATAATGTTTGAAGTTCTTGTTTTTCTTTAAATATTTAAAATTTATCAAATATGTATAATCAAATATGTATCAAATATGTATAAACTTTTGTGACTGATTATAGATAGTAATACTTTAACGATATAATTGCTATTTCACATGGAAAAAATACATTAATTCAAATATTGTTGAACGAACATGTTAAAACATTTGCTGAATTAAACAATATCACGTTTATCTTACAGACAAGTTTAATTCGAGTTACATCAAACTTTATCAGTTAGAGAATGTCTATCAACAAATGTGGATTTTGGTTCATGACTGTACATGAAAATTGAACATATTACTAAAATTGCACCTAAAGAAAACTGGAAATTCAAATGGAAATTAAAAAGATATATAGAAGCTATACACGAAATTATAATGGCCAGAGACGTAGCAAAACCTTTAAGTATATTATCTGCATACTTAACTACCATTGCAACAATAAGACCTCCGCCTGCTTGAAGTACAATTAAATAACAAATAAATAGATCATAGCCAAAAAAGAAACCTTGTTTTTTTAACATTTCACTGTCATTTACAAAACACGTAATTAATCCAAAAGGCAATGATAATAAACTTAATTGAACATTTCTCATCCATATTGATATATCTGAATCTTTTAGTATTTTCTCAAAGTATATTCCTGCAAAACCTGATAGAAAACACGCACTTAAAGCAGCTGAAAATCCAAGTAAACGACTCTGTTCTATGCCGGATGGTAAAGCAGTATCTGAACTTTGTGCTAATTGTACCAATACTACTCCTATAACTAATAATATTAAAGCTCCCCATTGAGTACTTTTTAAAGACCTTCGTAGTATTATCACGGCAAAAAATGCTGTCGTTAAAATTTTTAGTTGGTATGTTACCTAAGAAATAATAAATATAAAAGCATGTAAATGATATTAATAAATGAAAAATAAGAAATATATAGTATGGTTATATAAATATTATATATACCTGATAAGTTGCTGCATCTAAATTAGATGCTGATATATATAGAAGATTATTTTGTATAATGTATAAAAATGATGGCACAGATACTTTTAAAGTATCTATAGGCTGCTTTATAATTGTCAACTTTATTGCATTAAAAAATTTTGCAAGATTTCCTTCTTCAACAAGAACTAACGTCAGACATGTTAAAAGTTTAACAACTTCTGCCATTACTACCGCTGAAATAACATTTCAAATATATATTAATAATTTATATATAAATATAATTAAAATAATAAGTAGAATAATTAATTTTTATAGAGTAAAATGTAATGTACCAGTTGATGAAAGAAACATATTTCCTGATCTTGTACGTGCATAACGCATACTAAGCCCAACCAGAGCATTTTGTAACGTAAGTGTAACTAAACTAACATATTTTAATGTCTGACCACTTCCTATAAAATAAATAAGAAATAAAGTATCAAAGAATGGTTTAATAAATTTATTTATTTTTCATATTTAAATTATATATACTTACGTTGTTGTGGTTTCATCATATAATGTTTTTTATAAACAACTTCTATAATGATATAATGATATAATAGTCAATGGATTATTTCATCTATAAAATATGTTTTATTAATTACAAATTGATTTTATACTATATTTTATATTTTATTATATTAAAATATTTCATACTTTAGAAAATTTATTGGAAAATTATTACATATACACATATATATACATATACATATATATTTCTTTATAACTTTTGTAATGTAATAAAATATAAATATATTTATAAAACATTAACATATCTAAAGTTTAACTCTATACATAGTATATAAATTTAAAATTTAATTTATAATTAAATTAATTATATTAATTTTATAATTTTGATTTTTTAATTTGTTTTTAATAATGAATATTCAATATGACATTTTAAACCAATATAAAAATATATAATATATATTGTAACTGAAGGAAGAACGTATAATCTAAAATAATATGAAACAACAATTATTCAAAATATAAAAAATTTATATGTAGTGAAATTTTTATCATATGTTATTCTTATTAATTGATTACGAAGTTTTATGTATTAACAAATTTAAGTACATGTTTAAATAAAAATTTTGTATTTACAAATAAAAGTAAAAAAAGTGCAAAAGATATATTATAATACTAGTAATAGTAATAGTAAATGTTTTTTTCAAATACTTGGATATTTTCATTTTTACCTTTTTCTTTACTTTTATCAAAATAAGAAAGAAAACAAATAACAGGACGTATGTACACAAGAAATGTACACGTTGACATTTAGGCTCTTTATTACTTATCACCAACATGTGCATACTGCATGATGTACAAATAGAAAGCTACAAGTTTAAATGTTTTGAGATAGATTAAATTTAGTCATGTTAATACGTATTTATATTTTTTTATAAAGTCGACCAAAATACGAAATTTTTAAAATTATGATAGAAAATTATATTTCATTAATGTATTTTTTTCATGATTAAAAGAAATATATTAGATTTCGAGCGTTTGGAGGTTAGTAAAACTTTTGAAATTATATTATTAATTTATAAATAATATAATCATTTAATACATAGAAGAATACAGTAAGCAGAGAGAATCTAATAACATATTATTATAGCAATATTCGTACATAACTGAAAACTAGGGATTTCTTTAATTACTGCTAATATGTTGGTTCTAATGAATTTTGATTTTCACAAACTTATAGCGGCGTTTGTAATTACATTTTACGAAGTTGAAACAAGATTTTTAATTTACAATCTCAATCATATAAAGAAACTTATATAAGTAGTAAATCATTATTACGTAATTTTGTGAAATATATTCTTATTTTATAATTTTCAGTTTATAATATGTAGCAATAAAAAGTGTCTTAAACTTGAATATAAGAATATAGGTTATATTCAATTTTTTCAGTTTTCTTCGACTTGTGCTTAATAAACAGGAAACAAAATGTCTTATATGTTGTCACATCTTCACAATGGATGGCAAGTGGATCAGGCAATATTATCTGAAGAAGACAGAGTAGTTGTAAGTTTTTGATTGAATTCCATCAACTTTTACAGGTTATCATGTGCGAAATTTTATTTAATACAAATTTTATTTTAATAACTACTCCATAACACAATAACATTATTATTTGTAATCAGTGCAAACAATAAGTTTTTTACTTATAATAAACTAAATAATAATACATATAATTATATTTGTTTAATTTTTTTTAGTTTGATTTCTAAATTAAAATAAATGTATCAGAATTAAATTTCACAAATGAAAGTATAAATGCAGGTTTTTTTTTTTTATAACAAAAGTTAAGGGTTAAAGTTTAAATTTTTTATTAACATTAGTTTTACCAGGAAGAGTCAAGTGATTCCTTTGCATTCGAACGCAGATAACTTTGGAAATAAATGCTTAAAATAATGAAAAATAAAATTTGCATAATGAAATAATAAAAAATGGTCTTTCAGATGAAGAATTTACTTGCATTTTTTGCCAAATTGTTCCGTCTATAGCAACTTTTCTATTGTTTCGTTATCTTTAGAGTCTGTATATAATATTTTTTTTTTCATCATCAGTGTTTAATGATCATTCTTACTCTATGCCATCATCACTTTCAAATAAGTCATTTTTAGTTTTAAATTGTCTGTCTTCATCAATTTTAGACCATTTTTCAATTATATTATTTATTTCTTCTAATTTTTTGTTTTTCAAAATTCTAAATTAAAAAAAAATATATAAAATTAATTATTATTGTTATAAGTTTGTTCTCATTACTTACTTACCTAAAATGATACATTTAACATGCAAATTTCACGTATAAATAGTATTATTTGTAATTGAACTCAATGTGAAGTAAATATTTGAAAAAAAACTGGCGAATTACTGCAATGGTGTATAATTGATCATTGTGATCAATTGCAATTTGTTATATGATAGTTACAGTATCCGAATAAAAAAGTGATATCGTGGAATTCCTTAATTATGTTTAGAAGTGGCACAGAGGATTTCTAAATTTGTTTTAGGATTGTGATTTATTTTATGATATTGATATTTATATGTGGAATGATTTTAGAATAGACAATATTTTAAAATATTTAAGAGATTAAATGACTGTTTATGGTAAATATAGGTATATTATGTACATATATCAGATTCTGGAGAAATAGATTTGCTAAATTAATTTTATAATTATTACAGGAAAAGTTAATTGAAAACAGTGACTAAACATAGAAAATAATTTTAAGTCAAAATTTTAAAAATAGTCAGTTAATTTCATCCTGTTGATAAAAATAATGTTAAAATGTTTTAAATTTTTGTTACTCATATTAATATTTATATGGTTACTCATTTTAAATTTTTGTTACTCATATTAATATTTATATGGTTACTCATAGTAATATTTAGATATTTTCTTATCTCTAAATTTGTGATGACTAAAATATTATTTAACAATAAAACTACCAATGACTAAATTATAAATTGTATTAGAAAAATAAAAGTTTCAGGAACAGAGAGAAGTTTATAATACAGTGAAAGATATATACAGAATAAAGATTATTTAAATCTTTAAAGATGTTATAACTCTGTGAAATTTTTATGAAAAATTATAAATTATTCATTTTCATCGTCCTAGTGGTTCTATACTTTATTCGACAAGTTAAGTCATCAGTGATAAATAGATGCACGTAGCTAAGACAGAAGTGTACTCTACATTTTTAATTGCAAAAATGAATATAAAAAGAAAATATGACACAATAAATAAAGTTAGTTTTATATAATTAATTTCTCAAAACTAACTAAGATTTATAGGGATCTTAGTTGGAAATTCTCTAAAGAATGCAAAAAAATGTCTAAAAATTTCAAATTTGACACGCTAAGTCTGGAATATATCCATATCATAAATCGATACATACTGCCACATCAGATTTACATGATAATCCCAGAAAGTCACAAGAAAATTTTCATTTTTCTAAGCATATAATGACAAAATAATAAAAAATATGACTCATGTCCTTATTCACAATATGTTTATTTTGCTGGTGGTCAATGTGGCCCTTTAGTGCACTCATTTAATTTTGGTAATTGTTTTTGAATATTATTGTTTTTGAATGTTTTCTAGTATTACAAGTTTAAGAAAATAACTATCTACGATGTTTACACGTGATATACGTCTCGAGTATTATAACAATTGTAATAAGCATGGTTTGTAATAAATTAGCAAAATTTTGTTATTGGAAAACATGTTATCAGAAAATATTGCAAATTACAATTTGAAAGATATGGAAATAAAACATTGGATAACTTTAAATATTGATAAAATGTGAAAGATAAGAATGTGAAAGCTGGACCTTTATACAAAAACAATAAAAGGAAAATGACAAATAAATAAGATATAGTAATGCAAACATTTGAAGCATAAAAAATTCATGTTCTCTTTTAATATTTTTTTAAATATCTGAGCATAGAGTTTTATTACATAAAATGTATTGGAAATAAGAAATGAGAAATTCAACTCGGATGTTTTAGGCAATTTTTATTATCATGATTTAGAAAAGAAAGCTTTGTCGTAAATTAAAGCATGTAGAATAATGGATAAATAAAAAATGATAGAGGTCAGAATTAGATATCATAGCAAGATAGATATAAATTTTATATCTAATTTGATAAATAGCCAAAAATATATGGATTTAATGGATACATATTAGTTACATTACACAGAAAAATGGGATTTTTCATTCTTATGAAGTCTACAAAATTACGTATTTTTGTACAAAAAATATAAAAATTCTGAATTAATTCTGAATAAATTCTGAATAAATTCACTAGAAAAAATCTAATTAGATTTATTCAGATATGTTTACGTAACAGAAAAGTAATTTAAAACAGTAGAAGTAATTAAAATTGAAAAAAATTAAAGAATTGTGTAAAAGATATAGTTAAAAAATGTCTTTCCTATTCTTTTTTATCTAAATATTGCCATATTTATAATACTTCTATTTATATTCCTTTTAGGTTCCTTTCTGTAATTTTTATAAATTACATTTTATAAAAATGATTTTTAATATAATTACCATATATAATGGAATGGATAATATGTGAAGTATAGAAGTATATATTTTTTTGTGTAAAGACAGTATTGATGTACATTAACACGACAAATTGATATATATTGAATTTTTAGACCCATACTCAAAAATGTAAATTCATATAATTTCGCATCAACTAATTTCGCAAGTGAAATATGCAAAATACTTTTTTTGATATAAAATTATAATCTTAACTAAATTTTTAAATGGTATATTTCTCGAAAATAAAGTGTTATATGAAAAAATTATATTCTTTTTTGGTTCATTTTTACATAACGGTAATCTTTTGATCATCATCTTTTGACTGGTTATATCACAATTTAGGAAAAATTTTACATACCTAAATGTCATTGTCACAAATAAATTCTTTATATATTTACGAAAAACATTATATTTACAATAAACAGTAAATTAGTATAAATAAATAGTAAAAATAATAATTTAAATAATTTTTTTGTATACAAATTTAGAGAGAAGTTCAATATTAATATGAGTAACGATGCATATAAATTGTATAAAAATTATGTAATTATATAATTATATAAATTATGTAATTTTTTAGGTTATTAGATTTGGCCATGATTGGGATCCAATGTGTATGAAAATGGATGAAGTTCTTTATAATATTGCTGAAAAAGTAAAAAATTTTGCTGTCATCTATCTAGTTGATATTACACAAGTACCTGATTTTAATAAAATGTAAGCTTTAATGTGTAATAAAAAATAAAAATTGTACAGTCTGATAAATTACAATTATTTAAATTTTTATTAATAATGTTATATTAATTAAAAGAATAGATTTTAGAGAAGATATAAATATGATTTTTACAGGTATGAATTGTACGATCCTTGTACAGTTATGTTTTTCTTTCGAAATAAACATATAATGATTGATTTGGGAACTGGAAACAACAATAAAATAAACTGGACATTAGAAGACAAACAAGAAATGATTGATATTATTGAAACAGTTTACAGAGGTGCCAGAAAAGGTAGAGGTTTAGTAGTTTCACCTAAAGATTATTCTACAAAATATCGTTATTAATTAATTTTATCGATGAAAGTATTATTTTGTATTAATTGTGAATCTGAAAAAATGTGACATAACTGAGTTTATATTAAGAAATAAAAATACAGTGTAATTACATATAAATATAACATTATATATAATATAAATATATATATTTATATTTATATTTATACAGTTTATTATAAAAATATTATATAACTTTTTATATTTTTTATTTTATATTTATTTATAAGTAACAATTATAAATTTATATAAATTGTTTAATTTATTTTCTACAAAAGAATCAATAAATTATTTTTGCGAATAAATTGTTTAATATTAAAATCTTCGATAATTATCTAGAAAAGAGGACTCCTTTTCAATGATCATGAAATATGTTGCCGAGGTTATCATTCTGACCAATTTTTTCCTTTTATACATGTTATCGCTACTTCAGTCTAGTTTTCGAGATATTTATGAAAAATGTTTTATACTTTTTAAAGCGAACAATTTACTGATTTCAATAATTTCTAAATTCAATAAATGATATACTTTATATCTTTCATGAACAACTTATTTATCAAAAATGATTTATTTTATGAATTATTTCTACGTAATGTTTACTGATTTTCACCGACATTACGATTACAATAAATTGTTTTAGCGAGATGAAATTTCTTTACAATTTATGTCTTCATCAAATGTATATTTTACTGCTTTTACATCTCCATAATTAGTAATAGAATTGTCTGCAAAAATGTACATAAAAAATTATATATTCTTAATTAAATTTAAGTATAAATTTAAAAAGTTTATCACCTACGATAAGGATCCCACCATAATTTAGCCTGAAGGTATTGTTTTGTAACATAGCTTCTTCCCAAGAAGATATGTTTGGTCATGTATGATCCGTTATGTTAAATCTCATACTTGATGCTATGTCAACAAACGCATTAAAATATTCCAATATTCCATTTAAAGAATATGGAATGCTCAATCCAAAATATTTATATTATTTTTATTATTTATAATTAAATATGAAAAATTAGATATTATCCCTGGAACTGACATATGATAACAGATAATAATAATAGTAATATAATAATAGTAATATAATAATAATATAATATAAGAGTTCAGTACTATTAAAATTACAAATATTTTTAATTTTAATAATAGAATAATAAAAAATTACCTCTATTTGGTGTTTTAAACAATTCTAAGTTATTGTTACAATTTTCCTATTCTACAGCAGTTCTTGCTTTAATTTTTACTTTATAATTTATAATTTGTGAATGCTGTTGCATTAAAATATTCAAAAATAAATGTAGATCCATTAAAGTATTCAATGGCTATTTGTTTGCACCAATCAGGAATAGGGAAACATATTTCTGCTTCAACTATAAGTTCAAATTCAAGTAAATTTCCTGCAAAATATGACGGTGGTTTCCAAACAAATATAAACTGGGAATATGTTATATTTGTAACATTAAGCGAAGGTGTAGATGGTACTAAAATATTAAATAAGAATTTTTTATGCATTTATGTTTACTTGCCATTTTCTAATGTTGTTACATTTATTAATTCACCTAATTCACTATTCCCTGCTTCATTAAAAACATATTCCCAACATATATATGTAGTAAATGGACTGATATCTTTTATCATTAACTTTACAAGATATTTATCTTGAATATTAGTACTATTAGAATTTATAGTACTACTTTATAGTATTAGTACTATTAGAATTTATAGGTACTTCAGTTTTTCCATTCTTAATTTTGTAACCATATCCATTTATTATTGTAGCATTACACATAACTTTTAAAAATTTTAAAGCACAATTATCGTTGCCTTTTTCAATCTTCCATAAAAATGTTATGCTATTATTTGTAACAATTGTTTCTTCCATATGTAATATTGGTGGTTTTGAGACTAAATAAGATTTTGACTTAGTTTTATATAATATTTTATATAATATGTGTAAATAATTATAATTAATTTTTTCACTTGTTGCTCCTGTTCTTGTTTGCATAATTTCCCAATCATTATTAACTTCATCTATTGCATTAATGTAAATGAATATGAAGTACATGCATATAAATCACTTATTGTTATATTTGTTCCAGTTACTTGTTTCGTTGTTTATGGATCAATAGTACGAATATCTTTAAAGCATTGTGTAATTAAATAATTATTTATACATGCTGAAAAATTTTGCGATGGTTTCCAACTTGACATAATTTTGTGTAATAGTATGTGCAACCAATTCTCGAATATCTCCGATTTTAGTAACTGAAAAGAATAAGTAAATTGCTAAAAAAATGTTATTGCGCTTGTAGAAATAATTTTTATAAAATGTCTAAAACGTATATTTTGGAAACTTTACACGAACTATTTTTATGAGAAATTTATAAAATCACTCAATATATAATTGTTATGCAAATGATTGTTATCGAAAACATTATTTTAATACGATTTATGATTTTAACACAAGTGTGTTAAAAATTATTTGTTATAGTTTTAGGAAATAGTTTTAGGATTCTTTAGATCGGTGAAGATTTGTTTAGAAATCGATCCATAAAATTGACCATAGTGTGATTTTCAAAGTGAAACTTTTGTTATTACATTGTATTTTATTCATTATGGAGAGACAAATTTTCAAAAGAAACATGGAACTTGACGTTTTTTCGAAAAAAGAAAAAAATGTTAAAGTTTCATTAATTTTCGAATTCATTTTGTTCAATAAATAATGCGTTTACATTTTATTGTTAAACGCAGGGAAAATAACATCTATCATCGGATATAGATCCACTATTATGTATTCCAACATTTTTCTTTTCTTCTTTCTGTTTCACTAAATAATGGTAAATTTGTGTTTCTAACTTTGGTCAAGTTTTTCCTCAAGATTACATATTGATTTATGTATATGTAATAAAAATTTTTCTTTCATTTACACAATTTTAATATTTTTTCCAAAAGATTTTTTCTCGTTACAAGTAAACACAAAACAAGCAAAATACAAAAATGCAATAAAAAAGAATCGACTTTGAGAATCATGCTGAAAATCAATCTTGCAGTCTACTTTTTGAACAGATCTTTACCTTTCAAAATTACGACAAATAATTTTTTGTTTTAAAACGATTCGTATATTTTTGAAATTTAAACTAAACGAAAATAAAACTGACAAATGAACGTTAATTTCATCCAAATTCTCGCAATACTGTCAATATAAAAATAAAAAGTAACTTTTTATTCAAGTATGTTATAAACGAATTAAATCAATTATTTTTAAAATATTTTCAAACGAATATCACTTATCACAGTTAATAGTTGAAAAAATATAATAATCGACTATTATTTAAAAAGATAAAAAAAAGATACATAACATATTAACGATATATAAATTAATATGAAAATATAATCAATAAGATCAGGGAATTCAAAATTATTGATCAATTAAATCTAAAAGTACAACTTTTAAGTTGAGAAATTCACTGCAAAGTTATGGCTGTATATGAGTGAACATTTTTCATGTATTTTTTATCATTTTAATCATTGACTAGATTGTTTTAACGTCATCTTTTAAAATTACCATCTACCACAGACGAAATTTTCTGCTACAATCATCTATGATGTTATTTTCGAAAATGTCCGTGTTTCCGATGGAAATTTTAAAAATAAATAAAAACAATAATTGCAAGGATTTTGGAAAATTAAAATCTATGTTAATCCATTTCCAAAATTTTACAAAAAACATTAGAATACGATATGATATGATTTTAACACATATCAATATACAATACATCGTACTAAAATATAAAAGACTTCAATAAATGAGGAATTTGTGTGGTATTCAATGAGATAATTATAATTGAAATTTTTTACAATAAATTATAACATATACGTATTAAATTTTTACTTCTGTTTTATTTTTTTCATCGTACAATGATACTTGTATTAATTGAATTAGTATAATCTTTGAGGAGGTCCCATAGAAGATTTAATATGGAGAGAACGCACATTTTGCCAATGTTTTTTTAATAATGAAACCAAGAAATTAATCGAAAGATGTACATTTTGTACCAATTCATCTGGTGTCATTTCCACGTGTCCTACAGCCACTGATAGACATAATACCTGAAACAATATTTATCAAATTACACTCAAACGTATAAATTATTAATGCGTTCCGGCAATTTTGAATTTATTGCAATAAATTTTTTAAGTCAGGGTGTATAATATTTCGTTATAAACATTAGTCATTTTCCTTCCTGCACTGACCGGTTGACACGATCATCTTTCGCTTAGTTCTATATTTTGTTTAATATCTTTTAAATTCTAAAGTATACTAAAGTAAACTGTAAAGTATTTTGTAAAGTAAACTGTAGAGTATTTTTTATCTACATTAAACGAAGCAAATAAACAATTTATCCAAGAATTAAGTAATTAAGCCTTTATATTCGAGAGGCGACTTGCTCATTATTACTATTATATTACATTATATTTCATCGAATCCAGAAGCATTGATAACAATATGGATACACGAATAGATTCCTTAGCTCCTTGTCTATAATCTTAATATGTTGATCGCTGAGCGAGTAGGTTTTTTGCGAGGCCACGCATTTAATCTTAGCTTTATCTCTTAGGTATTCTATTGTCTTTTTTTTCAAGTTTACGTCACAGTGCTTCAGAGTTGGCATGTCAAATTATAAGTGTTTACACAGTTTTGTATCCCTCAATTACAGACCATTTAGAAAATTCAACAACGAGACCTCTAAATCTTAGTATTGTTTAAAATGTTTTCCAATATATATTACTTTAATAAATAACTATCACAGTACTATATATTTTCATATATTATTACTTCTTCAAAATAATTTACTATATTATTATTACATATTATATTGTTATTTGATAATTTAATTTAATTTAAAAATAATTTACTATTAAAAACTAATTTTTTTAAATTAAATATCATTACATTTTTTCTTTTAATGCCTTAAAATTTAAAAATAAAATCACGATTTTATGTAGGTAACGCGGCCTCAATGGAAACTTGACTGTCACCCGGATGCGCCATCAACATGTTAATAAACGATCTCTTTCTTGTAACTCAAAATCATGTTCTCATAACAGCGCCTTCGGCATAATTCTAGATGAACATCTTTTTCAAATGCAGGTTTGACCATATCTGCAAGTTTTGGAGCCAATTCTTTTTTATTTCACAGATAATTTTCTTTCCTTCGCCATTCGTTTTTTTTGGGGTGGTTTTTACGAGCTTCATTCGTAAGATTTCCTCCAATCATTCCATTTTTAATAATGTAACGTCTTCTCATTTACTTCTATGAAAAATATCAGTTATTTCTTTGTAAGATTTTCCTTCTCGATGAAGTTTCATCTCGACAAGAAGTCTCACTCGCACTTTTTTGTTTCAAATTTTTTTCATATGAAAATATATAATAAAGATATATATATATATATATATTATATAATATTATATAATATATAACTATGAACAATTATAACACCAAACGTACTAAACGATTTTTTACCATCGACCAAGTTCATAAATTCTAATATTCATTACATAAATTCGGTACAAACAACGCTCAAATAATTTTAAAACCCTTTTCTTGTTGCACATTGTTACAACGAATGTTCTAATTCCTACAAATATCATCTGATTCATTTTCAATTTTATCATAAACATTTATGCTGTTTTTTTTCAATAATTCTTACAGCATAAGATTTCATATTTTTTTCTTTGATTTTATTTAGTTTTCTTTTCATAGACTTTTTTATATTATGTAAAAGTTGAAGTTTAAATTTCAATCTTTATAATCATTTAAATTCTATATAAAATATTTGATAAACATTTAAAATTTTTTCTAGAAATAAGTCGTTTATAAAAAATGGTGTCAAATTTTAAGACCATATAAACACTCGCATCTTAACAGATTTTATTAAAAATCTTAATAAACATTAATTTCGGTGTTACGAGATATTTCAGTAAAACATTAAGTTACGTCTTTATTGAAATAACAACAAGCAATCTTTTTGTTAATGTCGCATATGTTTTGAAAATGTTTCATAACTACGAACGTTACAACTGCACGAAGCAAATATTGTTTAGTCATCATTGATAGCGTCTTTGAACAAACTTGTTGACTCGCGTATGGGCAACTTGTTGCTAGCAACATACGTAGCCTTGAAACCAGAACAAACTCCAAAATCTCAGATTATATTGCTTCAGTGTGAACAAAATGTTTGCTATGTGTTTATTGGAACATGTAGCAACAAGGAAGAAAAAAAAGTTCTTTCATTATTGCTTATCTGAGAACAAAAAAATATTCTATATAGAAATATTCTATTTTCATTGAAATAAGATAATTTGGTGAATATTTCGAGTTTGTTTCGATTTCAAGGCGATATTTATTTGCATCAAGAAACATTTGTTTCTGTTGTCTCATGTTTCCTACTTTTCTTTATCGCTCAGAACCAGAATAGACAAGTGGCGACATTTGTCACTGACGATAAAAACATAACCAACATGTAACGATTCTTTCGAAATATATAGAATATTAAACAAAAGTTTTTCATTATTGTTCTAGCAAGGATGTAACTTATAAGTAGGTAAATGTTTTTGAATATACAGTAACATGACAAAGGCGATATACATCTTATAAATGAACATGTAGAAACAAGAAAAATAAACTTGTTATCGCTTCAGTGGGATATAACTTTATCTTTACTAACCTTTATGAATTTCTATTTATGTACATATTTCCATATGTTTTTTCATAAATTTCAATATTTGAATACAAACAAATTATTATTAACAAAGCTGTGAAATAATTATAAATCCCTATATGTAGACATTGTAAACTAAAATAACAAAATATATTTTTCTAGTTAAAATTACTAAAATAATGTTAACATGTTTCTTCACATAGTGTTATACGATCGAGTTTACACTTGTTGATTCAAAAGTTTCAAATATAAACGCAGGATCTGTTACGAGTTTAAAATTAAAAAAATCTAATAATTCCGAAACTAATTTTTTTAGACTTATGTTTATTACGATTTTCTTGCTTGTTCTGACGAGGAACTACACACTCCTGAGAGATCAATTTTTATGAATAAAAGTGCACATAGAGAGGATTGTTACGATATTACCGTATATATATTTTTGAAAATATTTTAAAAATTAAGAAAATGATGGTTACGTGCACAGAAAAAAATGTATAAAATGTTGAATTTTACATGTTTAAAAATTATCGAAATCAATAAAACGTTCGCTTTCCGAACAATTACTATACTACGTAGTATAATTTTGTATTTCATTTTAACTAAATTTTATAACAAAAAACTTTATGTTAATGTAACAAATATGTAATAAAATTTACCTTCTTCATTTGGAATTTAATTGTAGCTTTCACCTCATCAATTTTTCCTACCATTGATTCTTGATGAGAGAGAAGACCAGGGAATTTGCCAGCCTTGTTGAGACCAGGACCAAGAATACGTGGAATTTGTTTAATCAAGGATTCACTAGCTAAGAAGGCATCATATTTTTTAGCTGCAAAAAGCACGTACGAGTTAATTATAAGACGAGAATATAACAAAATTGATTTAAAAAATGTTTCAGCACGGATTGAGATACGAAGCAATGAAATACAACGTTCTCACCAAGTGAAGAATTTAATTTTCTTCCATTAGACGACCACTACTACAAATTATAAATTAGCAATGGTGCTTTTTGGAAGGGACAAAGAAAAAAATTAAATATACAAAAATATACAAAATAAAAAATTTCAAATTACCTAGTTTCTTTACAAGTTTCTTGTTCTTATTTAATTTTTTCAATGCTTCTGCATCCATATATGGAATATTATTAGCTTTAGCTTCATCACAATGCTGTTGATCTCCCAAAACACAAACTTGCATCTTTGGTCTTGGAATATTTTTTAACCTTTAAGACACAAGTAACATGCATAATATTATATGTTTATTATAATTATTCAAAAGTAAAATATAATTATCAATATTTTCAGTAATATATTGTACCACACAAATTATTCAGGTAATACATGCAAAATAGTTCAACATCATCGAAGATTGGTTTTGAATAATTGAATCGACCAAATAATTATCACAGTCAAATGTTAACTTACCCGCAGGATCGCAAGTCATGATCCTGTAGTAATTATAAAGGTAAAAAACCTCCCCAATTTATTTAAGACCCTGGGTGAAGGTCCGCTAGATGAAATCTAGCTTCCTGACTATGCACGAAGTAATCTTTTCGGATGTTTGTTAAAAAGAAAAAAATGAAAAGAAAAAAAAAAAAATAAAGTAGATTTTATAGTAATCATTAAAAACCGAAAAGAATCCTCAATGTCAGGTAGAAACATACTTGACAGTGCCTGAGAAACGTTTATCCTTTTGTGGATCATAGTTCTTCAAGCCAATTTGAAGTTCCACTGTTTCCAAGAATTTCCTTTTCTTGTCTTGCGAATGTTGGAGAACAGCATTCACGCATTCATAAAGAGTATCACGCGATACTTTGGACCTATCGATCATAATTATCATTACAATCAAGATTTATTTAAATTTAAAATAGTTGTTATTAAATAGTTCAATCTGTATTGGGTATAAATAAAAAAGTTAATTTTAATAACGAGAAACATGAAATATAAGATAGAAATAAACATTTTTAACTGATTCATCGATACTAATACATTTCTGATAATGAAATTTTTTGTAATTAAGAAACAAGTTATACCAAACATTTCCGTATCTAAATTTTCTTCATCATCTCGATGGTATACAGGCTGCACCTACTTTTTTATTTAATATCTTTTTAATATCCTATTGTAATATTAATAATCAAATTATTCTATAATATGGTACAAACGAATTTAACATATAACAGAAATAAGATATTTATTTATATCTATGAAATACTTCAAATTCATTTCATTATAGTTTTTCAAACATACCTTTAAAAAATTATAGCAGTATAGAAATTAATATGATAGTAAAAATTGGTATAACATGTCCAAAAATTGATACAGTATAAATATATCAAGTAATGCTTATTTTTAAAAAATATAAGTAATTATATCAAGAGAATATATTAAAACAAGTATTATGTATAATATTAAAGAAATAAAATTTTAGATTTTTAAAATATAAAAAGATTAAATACTCACGTCATCGTAATACTTCCTCACGATGGTTCAACGGGGAACAAGCCACCTGAAGTCTGGCTAAAACCAGAAAGAAAGGTAATACGAATGTAAGCAAGTAAAACCAGTGAAAACAGTTATTTGCTAGATAGGATTACCTCTATCAATATTAAGATCTTAATTTAGTATTTAACATTATCACAGATGGCGGTACACTTTCATACGGACTCGGCTTTATGCATATGTATATTTAAAATAATGTTTGATATCGTCTGTACATACGCGAAATGTAAAATACAGTTTGCGTATCATTAAAAAATTTAATAGTAAATAATTAAAATTTAATTTGAATTAATAAATAAAATTATAATAACTTACTATTATAACTTACTACTTAATAAACAAAATTACAATAAAAAATTTAATAAGTTTAGTAATAGAAAGTTTAATAATAGAATGTAGATTAACGGATGATATATGTAACGAGAAGAAAGTCAGAGTTCAAGTATCCTATTGGAAAATTTAGTTATTGAAGATTCCATTAAATTAGGTTTCAATGGAGCTATGTAAGTATAATCTTAAAGGAATTTTAATAAGAAATTTTAATAAGTTTCATACAGGAATACAAGAATATGATATACTTAATATATATGCATCTAGAGCGAATTCACATGGCGTTTCTAATGGTGCGTTTAAATCAAACGAACGAAAGCTTGTCTTTTCACTATTTCGCGCATATTTATTATATTAACACTCGTAATAACATAAGTAGAAATATAAATTTGATTGAAGGGAAACGAACGTTCGTTCGTTTGATGTAAATCATGAGATATAAATGTATAATATTGGTATCATATCGTGATGCTAATTTGTGTATCTTGAAAATCTCAACCGCTAGCAATATTTTCTATATGAAATCGAGACGTTGAAACAAATTAAATTAATTCACATGGAAGAAGGGACTCGTTTATCATAAAGAATGTATTCAACAATGATATGATATACTGGGATAACTTTGAAATACTTTAAATAGTGTATAAAGTTTCTTTTTCTTGTCTATTAATGTCTTACTATTAAAAAAATGAATCCAGATGAAGATGAATGTTTCTTTAAAATTTTTTTTTTAAATAATTTATTTATCTAAAATAAATAAAACTTCAAACTCATGCATTTAAAAAAATCTTCGTTTAAGAATATATACATATTTGAGAAGAAAAGATATTTTTTCATTTTCATTTCAATTTTCATTTAATATTATTTTTCATTAATCTTTTTTATATTTTGAGTAATTAATATGGTAAGTAAGTTATAAGTGTCTTGTAATAAAAATTATATTTATATTCTAGTAATATAGTTCAATATATTACTAGAATCTAGTATATTTCATTTACGAAAATATTCGTTATCATGGTGTCTACCTATAACTAGCCACTTTGCTATTGGTCAAAATATGGATGGAAGAAATATGGCGTCATACTGTTAAAAACGCTAAAAATGCTCAACTTTAGAGATGTATAACTTTTCAACAAATGGATTCCTCGCTTTAAACTTGTTTTTGGTTGAAATTTGTCAAAATTTACCAATTTATAAGAAACAAGCTTTCATAAAATAAAGAATAAACTAAAGCTTAACCTAAATATTTTCTAATGTTGTAAATTGAGGAATGTCATATCTATATAAAGTGGGTGGTCTTGTTTACTGACAGTAATAAAATCGATGAATAAATCAGTGATTTGATTTACTTTACATATGATAAATAAAATAATAAATAAAATTTGAAGAAGTAATTATATTTTTATAATTGATAATTACTATAAGTATTTGTCGAGGTTAATAATGTGAATATCGATGTATAATTTAAAATTCCAAAAATATATATTAAGAAATTAAGTATGTATATTTTATAGTTTTTTCTTGTGGTACATAACATATTTTTTAATATATAAATTTGTTAACATCATTGGAATTAAGTTAATTATTTAAATATTATCTTGTTTAAATACTATAAACTAATGTTTTATTTGTAGTCAAAGATGTGTCCAGCGCTTTTAGAAAACGAAGAACGATGTTTTGGTGGAATGACATTTTTTGCCCAAAGTCATCCCGTTGAAGTTTGTGGTAGTAATGGTTTACCTCTTACACCAAATTCGATAACTATATATGGAAAATCTCAATTTCTAAAAACTATTCATCATCCAAATTTATCTACATATCTTGATATAATTAGGAGTAAACACGGTAAAGACCACTATATTAAAAACTAGGAAATTAAAAATATTTTATAATTATCTAATTAAATATAATTATAATTATCTAATTAAAATTAGCCTTTTTTAGAACGAATAGTAGTGGTCGCAGAATATAATGGAGATCCGTTAAATAGCAAAAAGAATTTAAATACAGATGATATTCTAAAAATAGCATTTCAATGCTTGTTAGGTTTACAATATATGAACAAGTTAGGCTTAGTGCATAGACATCTAAGTCCTGAAAATATATTATTTAATAAAAGTGGAAATGTACAATTATATAATTTTGGCCTATATTTCATGACAGATTATGGGAAGAATATATCTTTTCCTATCGGGTACGTGGTATGATACAAGATTTATTTTAATAAAATTTAATTCTGACTGAATATTTGATAAAAATAAGAGTTTGTTTAAATACATAATACAATTTTTCATTAGTTACCCAAAGTATACAGCTCCTGAAGTGTTTTTGAGTTCTGGTGTTAGTAGCCCAAAAGTAGATTCCTGGTCTTTAGGCATGATTATTACAGAATTATTACTAACAAAATCAATATGGTCAGGTGTAAAGTTATCTCAATGTTTGCGGAAAGTTCTTAGTCTAATACATTGTGAAACTTCTGTATTTGAACGTCTTGCAAGAGAAATTAATTGTTATAATATTTACAAGGTATAATTTCTTATATTTGTATCTTTGTATATTATTATATAGAATAAAGTTTAATAGCTAAATTTTTTCAGTATATTAAGCAAGTAAATATTATTTAAAGATTTATTAAAAACATAATAAAAATATGAAATACAAAGGAAATAATAATAAACTTATGATTATTATGTTAGAGACAAAGATTTGTGGTTCATATGATTATGTTAATGTTCATTGTTTTTGACAATATAATAGTGACAACAATAAGAAATTGAATTTATTATTCTATAAAACTTTTGATGGATCGATTAATTCAAGTTTATTATATATATTAATAACTATGCAACATATTTTTCTGTTTTGAAATTTATGCATAAAAGTTCAATAAGATTACTGGCAATATTAGAAGCAATATTATTCTGTTTGTATTTCATGCTTTAATTATAATTTCCTAATAAAATTTTAAATTATCTGTATTTGTATAATATTTTTTGCTCAGTTACACTCATAGTGATAGTTTGACCATTAAACTCTAGTACATTATATGTATTTTGTATTTATTATTGTTCTAGGATTTGCCTGATAAAATAAAAGAATTTGTGGACTGCTGTCTTCAAATTCACCCTTTGAAACGTAAAATACCAGAAGAGCTATTGAAATTACCTATATTTGAAAAATTTTTGTTACAAAATGAGAAAGAAATAGAAAAAAATTTATATAGGAATGTTATTGTTAGGAAAATGGATGAATTATATTATTTATGGCAATTAGCAGGAGGAGATATTACTGTCGAGTTAAAGAAACAAGGACTTATCAGATCAAGACCACCTATTTTATCTATTCCAAAGTAATTATAAAAATTTTATAAACATCGTATTCTGTGAAAAAGAAACACAATTTATTAATGTTCTTTTTAGTTTAGTAATACTTTTAGGTCAAATGTTTGGCAGAAGAGATACAGCAGGATTACTTGATTTACGTGTAGTTAAAATTCCTCTCGATACACTACATCAACGTCTATCTCATATTCCATATATAGCTAATTATCCATGGTTAACAGATCAGTACGTGCAATAAAGATAAATGTAAATTTTGCTTTTTTTCTTTGATCTTATATAATTCATCTATAAAATATTTTATAGAATGCGTGTTCAATCGCAAGAAGATCTGATAGATGCTGCTTCTCAATTACCTTTAATTATAAGAGAAAGAGATACGGAATACCAATTTTATAGAATTGTTTTGTATGATAGATTATTACAGGTGATTATATTAGTGTTAATATTTAATATTTAATATTAGTTTAATATTGATATTAATATTTAATATATATATATAGATTACTAAAGATAATTATGTTATTTTAATCTTTTTGCATTGAAGAACGAAGTACCTTATTCCACAGTGTCATTCATATAATAATAGATTACCATATTTTAAATTATTTCATACATAAAAAAAATTATTTGTTTATAAAAACAAAATATTTTCTTTATTTAACATTGCTCATCTTTTTCATGATATCTCTTATAAATTGACGAAATGTTAGACAAAATATTTAGTGAAATATTCTATTAGGTACGAAAAAATTGAATATCTTTTAAGTTTAAAATTATTTATCATAAATTTATTGATGATTTACAAAAATAGAATTTTCTCATAGAAAATTTGAAAATATTTTTTCTCTCTTAATGTATTCTAATAAAATATTTTAATAAATCAATTGATAAAATTATAACATATTGATCTATTGATGAAACTATATATTGATAAAACTATGACATTTTGATAAAATTATTCCTATATTTCCATATAATATACATTATAATTTATATTTTGATAAACTGATGGTCTTAACCAAGGAATATTTTTACTTGATTTTTATTCAATTTTTACTTGATTTTGGAATCAGTATCCATTTTATATTTCAAATACAACTTCTACAATTTACTACAATTTAAGATTATAATTTATTTCTTTAAGCAAATTATTTTTTTCGTAATAAATAAGTTGGCTGATAATATAAATTTTTGTACAATTTAGAAGTTAATTTCTTAATCATTAAGGAGACATGTATTGCATGGTATTGCACACCTATAAATATAAAATTATATTTATATGCTTATGTATATTGATATATATTGATATATATTTACTTATGTATATTGATAATTTAGGTTTATCCAATTACACGAGAAGCAATAATTGAAGAAGCACACAAAGATATACCTCCACCCGTTAGAGGAGCTGTATGGGCAGCATTACTTGGCATCACGGGTGATATTCAGAAATATTATGATACGATTGATAAAGAAACACCTACTCATACAGATCGACAAGTAATTTACCATTAAATTACATTACAATGGAATTTTTTACGTTTTAATTTATTATATGATATTTCAGATAGAGGTAGATATACCAAGATGTCATCAATATAGTGAGTTATTATCATCTGGTGCTGGTCATGAGAGATTACAAAGATTGCTCAAAGCATGGGTTCGAAATAATCCTCATTATGTTTATTGGCAAGGATTAGATTCATTAACAGCTCCATTTCTATATCTTAATTTTAATAATGAAGGTAATAGATATATTACATTGTTTTAATACTATTTTTATAATTTACTAATTTTATTGCCATTTTTCTTTTAGCTAGAGCATTTGAATGTCTGTCTAAATTTATACCAAAGTATCTTCATAAATTTTTTCTAAAAGATAATTCTGCTATTATACAAGAATATTTAGGAAAATTTTCACAAATCATAGCTTTTCATGATCCTCAATTAGCTAATCATCTTAGATCGATTAACTTTGTATTAGAATTATTTGCTATTCCGTGGTTTTTAACAATGTTTTCACGTAAGTCATTTATTATTATTACTATTTGAATTATGTAAAATTGTTTATGTGATAAATTTTTCTATTTTGACGTTGTTAATTGTTGCATATATTTGAATTGTTTTATTTTAGATGTGTTTCCACTTCACAAAATACTTCATTTATGGGATAAACTTTTACTGGGAGATTCTTCATTTCCACTTTTAGTTGGACTAGCGATATTGAAACAATTACGAGATTCCCTTTTAACTTCCGGTTTCAATGAATGTATCCTCTTATTTTCTGATCTTCCTGAAATTGACATCGAATTATGTGTTAAAGATTCTATGATGATGTACCAAAATACACCACCTAGTATTACTTATAGAAAACATCAATTTAATCAACCAAAGGTAGAAATTTTTATATTTGCTTTATTATTACAAGTACAAATTTAGAAAGAGAGATATTGCGTTATAGGATGTAAATTGGTTAGAACCAGAACCTGGTACTGAAAAGATGCCAAGAATTTGTGTTGATGACTTTTTAGATTTATTAGATAATAGTCCTGATAGATTAATAGCTGTAGATATACGCAATAACATACAGTGAGTAACTTATTTGTAAAAGAAATATTAAATCATTCTAAATCACTTTGATAATCATTTTTTCACATAGATTTGAAAGAGGTGCTGTAACAGGCAGTATTAACATTCCATTTACAAGTGTACAACTTTCTTTAACTCACATCGAAACTCTTGGACCACATGCAAAACCACTTGTAGAAAATAAAAATAGTATTGTTGTAATTATTGGACCTCATGATCAAAATAATGCATTGGTAAATATTACATTGTAAAATTTGATTTTTTCGATATTGAGATTAAAATATGCTTTATAGTTTGCAGATTTTCTGATAAAATGTGGAGTTGTGGGTGTATGTTCTTTACAAGGAGGAATTTCTGCTTTACGGATAAAATCTCCAAACATTATAGTAGCACCGCGATAAAAGTATGTAATTGCTACATCTTTTAGTGTAATAAATTTATATCAACGTCATATGCAAATTATACGACTTGTATAAATGTATGTATTATAGAGTATTCCAGCATTGATAGGGAAGGGATGAATTTAGAAAAGAAATCGAAAAGAAAGAATAAGATTTTTTCGTTTAAAATTTTTTCGAGAAAATCAAGTTAGAAAATTTATCAAATTTTGAATTTAACCAATTCTGATAGAAAAACGTAATAGAAAAAAATAATTAGTAGGAGGGTATTCTACTTGTACAAATAAAAATGTAGAATAACATTTTTTTGAATGTTCCGTTTTCGAGAAAATCCAGTTTAAAAATTTATCAAATACGTATGTACCAAGACAATTTAAAAAAAAATTCACAGCCTATTTTCTTGAAAATGAAACTTTAAATGAAAAAATTTTATTTTTCATCTTTAACTTATTTTTGCACTTGGAATAATCTTCTATTAATTTTTCTTTTGTTACTGAATTAGCTAAATTCCAGTATGTTTGATAAATTTTCAAATTCGATTTTCTCGAAAATGAAATATTTTATAAAAAATTTTATTCTTTATTTTCGACTTATTTTCTCATGTACAATCATCTCCTTATCGCTTGTATTATCGATGGGGGACGTGGGAGGAGGGGGGATCATAAAAAAATAAGAAAAAATATAGAAAATTTTGTTATTTTAATTCTAATTTTTGAGGAAATCGAAAAATTAAAAAAAATATGGAATAAATTTAGCCCACATTACTGATCGAGATGAAATTTGAGTGGTGTTAGAAGAGATCACAGACGAGGTGTTCATCTGTGAAGAAATATAAGAAGATGCTAAAATTTTAACTTCTAGCGATATAAGTTCTCTATATTGCTGGATTCTTTTTATCTAACTGTCGTATCGTTTCCCATCTTTTTTTAAAAATTATAATTGTATATAATTATATTAATATATAATTATATTTAGGGTTCTCGAACGCCTCTGATAACGCTCCCCAAATTTCATCTTAATCGGTCGTTCGGAATAATATTCATAAATTTTTTTATAGGACTCTTCGTTTCTGAAAAAATTAAATTTAAATATTTACCAATACATATAAGTGCATTGAATTATATGTAAACTGTATTTTTTTGAAAAATAGAGAAACGGAGAAATCTTATTTTTACAAGGAAGTTTTTTTTTATTTTTTGTCATCATCAATCAAATAATCATCATCTCAAATAATCTGCTTACTTGTATTAATCTAATTTACATGTATTGAATAAATTTTCAAATTCATTTTTTTCAAGAACCAATTTTGTAATTCTATTTTATTATATCTTTTTTTATCTTCTTATAAAGAATCATTGCATGTTTGTGTATAATATATGTTTGTATATAATTTTTCATTATACTCCTATATGCTGTAATATTTTATTTCATTATATTATTGTATAGTATTATTAAATAATTGATGAATATTACAATATTATAATATATATTTTTAATATTGAGATTATAAAGGATAGTAGTAAAATATGTATTACATTAATTAAAATATGTATTACACGATTAAATTTTTATTATACTCTATGTATAAAGTATGCCATATCTTTATTTACTTTAGATGGTTACCATAGAAACATAGTCAAAACATTAGAATTTTAGCATAAAGATTTCACTTACATGTTCAGTTACAGCTATTCTGATTGTTTAAATTCATTTATTTTATAAACATGGAAAGTAATATTTCTCCAACTCTTGAAAAGTGCATAAAAAGATGTTTGAAAAAAGAATTTGAAACGAATATACAAGAATCATTGAAAGAAGATGTGGATAATATGAATATTGTTCGAAAAATTGTACGTTCAAAAGAAATGTCTGTTTTAGTGAACTCTATAAGAACTACGATCATTGAACAATCTGCTTCGATATCTGAATCAACTTTAATTTCTGATTCGCGACCACAATCATCCTTCTCTTGTATCAGTGATCAAACAAGTGAAGATTGGAATTCTCCATTAAATAACGATGAATCTTATAATATTATTCTTGATAAAATTAATCAAAATAAACCTGTTCATGTGAGATTAGCTGGTTATGAAATTTTATTAAAAAGTGAGCTATCAAATCTAAATACTAATCCCATATGGGATTTACTTCAAAAAGCTCTGCTAGATGGTCTGATAGATGAAAGTAAACCTATTTTTGAAGCAAGTTTACAAGTACATGCAAAATTGCTCACTTGTTTGCAATCGTATGACGTATATATCAATTTATTGAATGCTTTCAATACTCAATATTATTCGCAAAAGACATTTGAAATTTTACCTACATTAATTTCCGGAATTAATTTTAAATTCTTTTTCCATGAAAGAATATTTCGGATCGTACATCTAATAATTTGTTATCACGAAGAAAAGTTAAAAAATGCAAGAAATCCTGATAAAACTATAGAAGAATTAATAGAGCAATTTATAATGTTTTTGAGTACATATGAATTTAAAAGTGTACCACAATCAAAAACATTAAATATACTCAATATTGTTTCTGTGTTAGAACCATGTGCTGATTGGAGTAGAAAATGGATTGTTAGTCTTGCTACTAGAAAAATGTTTTTAACTGCTTTAGGGAGATCGCCAAATTTATTACAGCAAATAATGCATTATGTACATAAAGGATTGGAAGAACCACCTCATTCTATAGCAGTATCTATTTATGATGATCCAATGGAAGTTATTATTAATGGGCATACAGTGGAAACAGTAACTTATCTTCATTGTTTATGTTTTATTTCTCAACTTTGTGCTTATGAAGCAGGGCGTGAACTTTTAATAGAAAATACATTCGATATTCCATTTTCAGTTTCTGAATTTTTAACTGCTTCCCTGAGAGCTTTGAATAAATTATCTACAGAGACATTAAATAATGTATATGATGTTTCTTGTTATGCTTTACAATTTATTTTAGACAAGTCGATCACATTATATAATGATGAATTTTATCATATTGCGCTATGTCATTTATTATCTTTTTCTGAAAATAACATTACCATATGGCCACATACGTTAAATATTATCCTACATATGTTAGACACAGCAGATGGTTCTGCATTCCTTATCTCGGAATGCAAAGAACATACAGTAAATTTTGAAAATAATATATCAAAATGTCCAGCTATGTTTATTATAATAATAGCGTCGAATATGTTACAACAACCTCTTTCCATAATGAATATAAAATATCTTGTTAAATTATTTGAAGTAATACAAAAGTTATTTGATGTATTTGATGCATATGAAATAGTACAGTATAAAATAGAAAAAGAATTTTATCCAGCTGTATCATACTTTTATAAGAAATTGGATAAATTTTATTTTGGAAATGAAAATAAAACTCAACAAATAAATAGGTAATTTACATATATATGATATATATAATTAATTATAGGACTAAGAAAATAAAATTTTATTTATAGTACAGTCAATACATTACTACTCAAAATGGTATCTATACCATTTGGATTGAAAAGTCTTGTTCAAGAATCATCAGTATTTCAAGAACTAATTGAAGGATCTATTGCACCTTTAAAAATGTCGTGGATATCAATTGAAGTAGTTAATTTTGTATCATCTGCTGCTTTTTTCCGTTTGGGGTACAATGTAATTGCTAATCTTGCACCTCATGTTTTATCTACCTTACTCGCAGAAACATGTAAAATATTGGAAGATCCACACCATTTTCACGATCCATGGGATCATACAAATGTTCAGAAATTTTTACATATACTAACAATTTTTTCTCTTAATTTTAAGTGTAAGAATAATGACAAAACTTTTTTATTATATACTATTATAATTTGAATTTATTGTTATAAATTATTTATTTTCTATATACAGGTTTTTGTGCATTCATGACAAATAGTCAAGAGTCATATAATGAAGAACATAACTATCCACTTAATTTATCAGAATTATTTAATGATTCGATAAATCCTGAATCAAATTATCATTATTTAGGACTTTTATCATTAGATATTGTGATATGGAATTTGAACATTTGTTTATATCTATTAGAATTACTAAATTTTCAGGTTAATATATGTATATCCTTTAAAATTAAAATATTTAATTTTTCTTTCATATTTTTATGATGTAAATTTTTTTAGAATATTTTATTAGGATTTCTAAATTTCAATACAGAAATTATAAGTGAAGAAATAAATATAAAATATATTGATAATTATACTTTAATACGACGTAAAATTATAAACAAAACATATTTTATTGAGAATAAAGATAAAGAAGAAACTAAATCAAAAGAATATGACACATCAGAACTGTATCCACGAAAACTGAATAAGCAAAGTTATTCCTTAGAAACTAAATATGATACGGAATTAGAAAGTTTACTTCAAGAAAATAAATCTGGATTGCTAGATAGTAGTTGGGTCAAACAAATTAGGGAAGCATATACAACATCACTAAATCCAATAAAAGTAAATACAAATTTTAATATTTATTTGATACAATCTTTTTTTGAACTGCTGTTAATTGCTTTCATAAAATAAATTTTTTATTTACTTTAGAACATGGTATTAATTCAATTAGTGGATCAGATGCAGAAAGCAATTCCTACTGCAGAATGGACAGAAAATTTTCAATGGAAGGAAAATATATTATCAAGTACAGATTGTTGGTTTGCAGAAGAAATACATGGAATTGATTTAGTTTTGTATTATGCAGAACAAAATAATGTTTTAGAAAATACAACTGAAATGAAAGAAAAATTACAAAAATTTATAAATGCATGTTATGCATTTATACAATATGAAAGACCAATAAAATTCGATGGATTTGATTGGTTTTTATCAACAGTATTTATTATTTGTGAAGGAAATGTAGACAAGTATGCATAAATTATTATATAATATAATTTTACTCTAAATACGATTTTATAATTGTTAAATAATTTTTTAATTCTTTATTATTGCATATACGCCTCAGTTGACCGCGAGTACATCCCTTAGTAGTAAATTCAAAATCCTTCATCAAAATTATCTTACAAATAATTTAAATCCTTTCAATAAAACAATATTGAAATTACTACTATTTATTTGAAAACAAATTATAGGGTAACTCTAGCAAGTCAGTGTATCATCATTGGTAGGTCTCAGATTGAAAACTTGGTCATCATTGCAATAATAATATGCATAAGATAATTAGTTATCATCACTGACCTAAATTTTTTATGATGATATCATACAACGAGATAATTAATTACAGATGTAAAACATTTATTACTCAACTAATTCAATTCCCAGTAATTCCGTTTTTATGGTGTAGTCTGGGGAAAGTTATAGATAAAAATATTAAGGAAGAATGTGCTACACAATATACATTTATGCAAATTTTAGAAAGTATTATTAGTAATGAACTTCCACATATCAAAGTTGCACTTAAGGTATATATTGAAAAATGAATGTTATTATTTATCTTTTGTTAAAGATTATTATATATTTATTTATATTTCAATACAGAATACGTCTGGAGTGGATTGGTCTTTAATATGTAATTTAATGGTATCTCAATGTTTTTGGGGTATACTTCCATGGCCTCAAATTATGCATTTCTTTGCAATTTGTATTTTATTTTCACCTGATTATATAATATATTATTGTGTATCACTTCTATATCATTGTCAATTTACAATAATGGAAAATGTCACTAATGGAAAACTGTGGCCAGAACGTATAGTATGTATGCAAATATATGTACTACCACATATTAGATATAATATATACATAGTGTATAATTTATTTTTATTGCTAATATAGGTTTTGAATGATTATCGATGTCACAATTATATAAAATTTATGGATTCATTAAATAAAAGATATGGAAACAAAATTTTACCAAAATTTTCAGTTAAAGGATTTAATTAAAAATAATAAAATAATATAGAAAAATAATAGAACATATAATAGAAAATTTGTTCTTGTTACAAAGATACTGAAAAATTTTATTTTTAATGAATATTCATTATAAATAAAAAAAGGAAATAATTATGTATTTTTATTAAATAAAAATGTTTTTTAATATTGTTGAATATTGTAAGTAAGATTTTAGAAATTTTAAAATAAATTTATATGTATATATGTATATTTGTATATGCATGAATATATATAAGTAGTATTGGAATGATATAATATTAAACTCTGAATAACTAATAAAACATTTTATTTTCTAAGAAAATCCGTATCTAATAATAATTTAATATCTTATTGTCTATAAGAATGTTTTTATTTATAGATTTTTGTGGAAAATACTTTGTACGTAATATGTGCAATATTTATACAAGTTGTACCTTTCAAACTCAGGAACAAAGTATCAGTTGTAGACTTTTTTATTCACAAAATGAACTGATAACTATAGATAAATGACTTTATGTACAATAATGACATAATATAGTCATGTTTTTTTATTAATGAAATCAGTCATCATGAATAGTAAACAGTTTTGCTATTTCGTTTAAATCATCATATTTTGTATCTCTGGCAAGCACCTGCAAAAATATATTTTTTATATATTTTTATATTTATAAAAAAATAAATTCTGCATTTTAAATATTTTATGAACGTACCTGTCTAGCGATAGACATCCGATTAAAGATATTCCAAAGAACTATGCCAACCACGATATCATCACGTAGGTAAAAAACAACTCCTTTTCCAAAATCATCATATTTTTTAGGTTCTTCTAATAACACTTTTGAATTATCAGAACATTCCGAATTTTTTTTTTTTAATTGTAGTGAACTTTGTATTTGTGTATTCAATTTCTGTTTAAAATAAAATACAAAATACATAAACCATAAAATTACTTTTTAATATTTATTACCTCTTCATTCAAAGGTTGGGCGGTTTCATTTGAACTAACAGATGTTATTGAAGTATCTGAATTTGTTGTTTTTACAAAAACTCCTACAGTTGGTAGTGACGAATCCACAATACCAATTGCTTCATATCCAACTTCTGGTCCTAAGTCGGACCAAAACATTGATTGATGTAAATATGGTTTTCCTAGTAAACACAAAAAAAATATAAATTTTATCATTATCTATTTGTATGTAAATTTTTGTATTAATGATTAATATGGCATATGTCATTAAAATCTCAATTTACTTGCACCAGTCATATTTTCTCCTGCCAATCTTCCTGAAACTACAGCATGATCATGATGTTCTACTCTTCTTCTACCAAGTTTAATATCATAAAAGCAAGCTGCATCACCAGCAACCCAAAGATTACTTCTTGCTTCTAGTTCCGCGTTAACAAGGAAACCGCCTATTTCAGGATCTGTTTCTAAATGTGAAGCTTTTGCCAAATCAGTGTTTGGTTCAACGCCTACTGCTACAATCACTTGATCAGCATCAATCTTTCCATGTAAATAAAAAAAGAAAAAAAAAAATCACTCACATCAAAAAAGTACCACTTTCAATATTTTTTGTAGATATTTAAATAAAACATACAACACGATTATCCGAAAGAATAAGTGATAACTGTCCACCTTTATAAGAATAATCTTCTACTTCAGAATTAGCAATACAATTAACACCTTCTAACACGGATTTCTTTGTTGCCCATTCACTTAGGTATTTCGGTAATACTTGATCCATTATAAATTTTTCTTTATATATTTGATATACTTTTTTATTCTCAGGTACTAAAAAATAAATATAAAATTAATCATTATTTTATATTGATAATTAATTAAACAATAATGTTAATAATACATAGAAATGTAATAAAAACATACAATTACGGGCCAATGAACAGGCAAGTTCTGATCCAAGAAATCCTCCACCAATTATAACTATATTTTTATATTTAACGTTATGCACAATATCTTCTAAATCAAGAAAATCTTCTTTTGTTCTGAAGGTTATAATTTTATCCTTAAGTTCATCTTGTATTGACTCAAAAACTGGGAGATTTTTAGGTGATGCACCTATAAATATATTGTAATTAAAATTGTATATAAATCTCAAATACAAATTAATCATACTCACCAGTTGCAATAAGACATTTTTCATATTTTATTTCATAACCATCATCAAGCACTACAGTTTTATTTGGAATATTAATTTTCATAACTTTCCAACCTGTTGCTACAGCTACACCACCTTTATCAGACTGACTCAAATTACTAATATCTGAATAAAATTCTGGTGGTTCATAAAATATACTGCAAACATAACATATAATAAATTACTTATTATATAAGATATAACATTTAAATACTTTGTCGTTCACAGTTTTTATAAAGAAAATCTTTATTACAGATATTATAACTTTAATTATTTTGTGTATAAAAACAGCAGTATTCTTATGTTTATGTATATATATGTATGTATATCCTAAAAATAAAGTAGTATTCTTATGTTTTTATATATGTTATATTTGTGTTCAGAATAAAAAAAAGCGCGTAGATTATATATAAAAAAATATTTTATGTTTCATTTAAAAAAGAATTAATGATCTTAAAATCTTATATAAAAAATGACTGTGAGAAAAAATTTGTTCTATCATTACAGATGCTTCTAATGAATTTTATAACCAAGAATAAAAAAATATTTAATTTTTTCATTTAAATAAAAAAATATAATAAACTTTTATTAACATAAATGATTATTACCTTCTCTGAGCACCATTCCATTGTTTAAAAAGTAATTGTGCACTTATTTTTCTATCTCTATTATACCAAAGTTCTTTGGATAATGGAGGTCTCATGTATGGCAAGTCTTCTTCTTCTGTTATTACCAAAACCTAATGAAAATACTTAGTTGCTTATACTTATTATATTTTAATCCAATAAATGAAGGAACAGTTTTACTATTACAAAATACCTTAGCTCTAGGATCTCTAGATTTAATAGATCTAAATGCAGAAAATGCAGCTGTTCCTCCTCCTATTAAAAGATAAGGTATTTCTGAAGGGAATGAATTAGAAGTAGGTGGAGATTTATTTTTTTGAAGTGATCTTCTAATTCTCCTTCCATTCTTTTCTCCTAAATATGTGACATACAAATAAGTTAATCACAAACTCTTAAACTTTAAAAAACCTTCTATAATTACAAGTTTTTATTCAACTTACTCTTACTTACATCCTTTTGCAAATCTGATTTTTTTGCAGTAAACCAATTTGAGGTAGATATCTACAGAATGTGTTTTAATGAAGATATTAAAAAAAAAAGAAAATGAAAAATTAATTATAATTATAAAAAATTAATTATATATATAATCAGCAATACAAATAAAACATAATATACAATGAAATTAATTATATATATAATCAGCAATACAAATAAAACATAATATACAATGAAATTGCTAATACTATACTGCATATATTGTAACTCCCGCTATGAATAAAGTTGCCAATATTTTCCAATATGGTGGTGAAGGCTTCTTGTCATTTGATTTTTGCGAATCATCTGGTTTTCCGCAAACTTCATAACAAGACGGTGGACAAGATGCATTAGGATGAGATTCACATATAGGTACAATTCTTTTTTGTTTGGAATACCTACTTTCAGGTATACATTCTTCTGGTTTTATGGTGGTTCCTGGAGGTTTATATACTTTGTCATTTGCATTGCTATTATACCTTAAATTATGAACACTGAATATTCCTAAAAAAAAAATATTTTTAATTTTAGAAATATTAAAGATAATAATAAAATAATAGTAATAGGATGATAATTTTAGAATGTAATTCAAAAAATTCGTATTAATTACTAGCTAAAAATTTTTTAAATATGAGTAAAATTAATAATTGTTTGTAATTGCTATAAGAAAAATAAGCATTATGAATTGGCTTTAATAGAGTAATACGCAATAAAAGGATTATTATTTTGATTTTAATAAAAGGGCTTTCATCAATAATACCATATAAAAAAGATACGTTGAAAAAATATGTAATCGTTGTCCAATTTTGAGGTTATATCGCGTGGTATACTTCTATTTAAACATGCCACAAAATTTAACAAAATATTAGCTATCTTTGTTATCTAAAAGTATGTATACAATTATTATTTGAATGTTTATCATTAAAATGTTGAATAAAGATTAACTTAACATTTACTGTGAAAAATACTAAGCTTAGAAGCAGAAGAAAAATTCGTGTAAATTGAGAAAAATTACTTTTTAAAAAATAAAGTGTATCAATACTTGCCAATATATTTTAAAGGTCGAAAAAAATGATTGACATGTGAATGCCTCGTAAGTTTTGGCATTCGTCCTATAATTCTACCACTTAACATTTTTGACGGGCCAAGTTCGGCCTTATGCAATATGGAGCAAGCGTGCGTGACCTGTTCTATCATCCGCGACTGGAAGCCGCTTTATACTTTTCTTGTTATACTTGAATGACACATGACACTCCATTACCAAATTTCTTTAATAAACAAATTGTATTCGCGATACATCGATTTTGAGACATTTCCTGAGGAATTTTTTTGTACAACATGAAAAAGATTTATAAACAATATTAAAATTTGTATTATAAGTCCAATCATTGGTCCAATTTAATAACGAATGACAGCCGTGACCGCATATACTGAATAATGATGGTTGCATAATTTCATACCAATGCAAATAAAACATATATGTATATCAATAAATGAAAAAATGATGTAAGATTATTTTATATTTGTAAATTAATAATAATAATTATTATTATTGTTATTATAAATATGAAATTATAAATTATAAATATAAAATTGCTTTGATAAAGTATGGATTAATTTCTTTATGTGAATATAAAATAATTCCGAATGAAAATTTCAAATTGTGAATTGATAAAATAAATATCATAATATGCTCAATTTATATGAACTTTGCTTATTTGAATCCACTTCCTACTATGTAATTGTACATGAACGGGAAGTTACTAGTAGAGGGGAGAATCAGCGGAGAGATTCCTGTTATATGTATTCCAATATAAATATAAACTATGTATTTGTTCTCTGATTATATAAAAAAAAGTTTATATAAAAAGAATTTTATTGCAAAAATTTATGTTAAAATAGAAGATAATCAGATAAAATTATATAGTATTTTTGTTATCTCCATTTTTTAGTTTAATTTATATTATAATTATATATATATAGTATAATTATATATAGTATATATAGTATAATTATATAATTTGTATTGTTTATATGTTTATATGTAATTTTGTATTAATATTTTTTAATTGTATAATAATTATTATAAATTAATAAAATTAAATTTTTCAATATTCTTTTTAATCTTTTCGGTATAGCGTCTATAGATCATAATAAACTTATTTTTCTGAGCGCATATATGCCCGCAGTACTCAAAGAATTAATTTTTCTAAAATAATTATTATAGATTTGTGATAATACAAATTTTCATTGAAAAGTTAATATAGTTACATATTTATTTTAAGTAATTCTACTATTTAATATTATTAAATATATATATATA